TGTGAGTGAGTGAGTGAGAGAGAGAGAGAGAGAGAGAGAGAGAGAGAGAGAGAGAGAGAGAGAGAGAGAGTGAGTGAGTGAGTGAGTGAGTGAGCATCCTACCACCCCACAACACAGAACATCACGGTTTTGCAAAATTTACCCCTGTAATTAGTGCTGCTCTCATCTTCCTTTTTACAGCAAATTCCTGGCCAAAATGTGTATGCCATCATGCGTGCATCTCGTGCAGCAAGCACGGAGGCCTTGGTGCTGACCGTCCCCTTTAGAACAGTGACCACTGTAATGGACAAGACACATGGTGGTCTGGCCCTCATGCTGACCATGGCTAATCACTTCAGAAGTAAGGGCTCATTCCCATTGAAACTGTTCTTCTACATTGATTGATTCAGCTCTGAGGGAACTCTTGCTGAATAAAATCATAAAATTTTGCAGACTATAATTGAAATTCCCCAGCATATACTTTGCAGGTTTTTATTACAAATCCACACCTTTATATATTTATTTATTTATTTATTTATTTATTTATTTATTTATTTATTTATTTATTTCAGAGTCATCATATTGGGCCAAAGACATCATCTTTGTGGTGACAGAGCATGAGTACATAGGAATGCAGGCCTGGCTGGATGCTTATCACGAAACCAAATCTGAATGTGAGACCCAACTTAAACACTACCTTTCCGTTTTTTTTTTTTTTTCATCCTTCTTGTACCCTTTAGGGTGTCGAGGGGAGAAAGAGTTAGAATTTTCTGTCTCTGGTGAGCTGGAATGTTAGGTTGAGTGGAATGTTGTTCGATTGCAAGATTTCTTGTACTCCATTTACCCACTTCTTCCTCGGCCTTCCTCTTGCCTTGACCTTTCTGGTTTAGATGGGTTTAAGAGGATGAAATTACTACTGTGTTTTCTGGTTTGGTTCAATATCACAATATTAAATTTTTCTGAAGTTTTTAAATAGTCCTTAAATAGTCCTTTAAACATCAAAAACCCAGAAAACATAGAATTATAGTATGTTAAGAAAGTCTGTTATTACAACCTATCATCCCTAATGTGTATTTTTTAGTGATTTCGTCAAACAGCCTGGAAGGACATGGAGGAAGTATTCAGGCCGCCATTAACCTGGAAGTTCCCACCAATAAGATTTCATCGTTTGACTTCAGGCTTGAGGGTTTGAATGGGCAGCTGCCTAACCTTGACCTCTTCAATCTGGTAGTTCGTATAAGTCGTCAGGAAGGTTTTGATGTGCTGTTGAAAGAGCAGGTATTAATAGATTTCTGGAATTGTATTTTTTTATTTGTTTTACATAGGTTGATGAATAACTTCAGCTTAATCAAATGAATATTTTGATAATTTGTTACAGTAATAATAATTCTATTTTGATGTTTTGATGCTTACTTGACACCCCCCTCCCCCCCCCCCCAAAAAAAAAAAAAAAAAAAAGGTTTCAGCCTGTGTAGTATTATAGTAACTAAAGCATTTGTGGTAATTGCACTTATGATACTACATAACAATTTCTGTTTTTTTGATGCAGTGCTGTCCTTGCACTTATAAAAAACAAGCATGCTTTTTTTATCTTATTATTATACTCATGTGCTTTGTGGCTTTCAGTGTTAGATATTTTACAACTACTTGGCTGAAACAAAATGTGCTAATTTAAAAATGATAATTCAAGTTTTTAAAATCTCTTGCTGGACTAACAGTTTAGTCTTATTGATGGCATTGCATCTCCCTCTTGGAGACCTNTCGCAGTTATTAATGTCCGACAATAAATTACATTCAATTTGTTTTTGAATGTATCTAATATCAATATCAATTTGATAATCAAAAGCAATTTAATATTTTGTTGATATATTTAGTGAATATTATAGTATTTTTAACCAGAAAATTGAAAATTTGGATTATATTTTAAGAGGTATGAGGTAATAGCCCAATGCGCATTTGAACTCACGCATCCGGTCTTTCATTTCCGGTTTGCATGAGTTTCCTTTGAATCAACTCGCCCCTATATCGGTTAACAAAGGTAATTCGATTTGTGTTTGTGTGATTTCTAGATCTACCCGCACAGGGCCATTGTCCCTGTCCCTGATGCCATGAGTTTGTCAACTGCACGTGATATTATTTTATGTAATATTTTGACAGTAACTGGTTCAGAGTGAGACGGAGCCTGTGGAATTGCCAAAAGCTCGAGTTGCAGTAGATATTCCTTACAGTACTTATACACGTACTCAACCTGCATGTTTTCAAACTCATAGAGCAAGAGAGTCCCTGGCAAGCATGCGGTCCATTCTTCACATTAAAAATAGAAAAAAAAACGTGTTTTTAATTTTTTGTTCATAGTGTTAGTAATGCTACATTTTTTTCAGAGTGGTGTCAATACTACTGGTGCCATACTGTGTTAACAAGTGACATGGGTTTGCTAACAAACCCAACTTCCAGGGCCACCATTGTGGGCAGCATAACCAGACACAACAACAAAATATGCTTCTTATGTTATGTAGTCGGGTTATCATGGTTCCTGGCTTTGGCATACCAAGAATTAAATGCAGGGACCTATTTCTCAGAGAATGCTCTCCTTCCTGGTAAGAATAAGACAGTTAGGGTGTGTTCCCAGTAAAATAATTGTTTTAAGTAGATCAATCCAATCCCGTGGGTCTCTTGCTGTATGCAATTAAATGAATGACACGCCTCCTCTAGCAGTTAAGGGCTAATGAATTTTCAGGTGCATTCAGTTTCGTTTAAAGCAAAGTAAAAAAGGTTCCAGTAGCCTAACTATGGTTGTGCTTAGAGACACTACATCTACATTTTAAATGAAAATTAGACTTGGGTGCATTGTTTTATTTTAGGTTTAGTGAGGAGCCAATTTTATGGAGATTCAGAAGCAGAGGGATATTATAGTCAGCTAAAAAGTGAATTGAATAAAGATAAAAAGTAAGTGTCTTAGAGTGCATTCCCAGAGATTTAGATCGATCCATCCGGATCGACCTAACTCCCTGGGGGTTCACGCTAAATTGCAGTCAGCCGAGGGGGCACGACAGTTAATTATCCCCTTACAGCTTTTAGTAGGCGGGACAGACGCTTAAGCCAGCTAAGCTGACAGTAATCTAGTGAGACTCCCCACAGGGATAGATCGATCTAAAATCTGTGGGAATGGGGTCTTATTTGCATATGATATTTGTAATATGCACTCTATGTACTGTGTTATCCATTTGCCACCAATATAAAGTTATGATCATTGATAATAAAAGCACAATTATTTACTCAAGATTTCAGAGTAGGGTTTAGTAAGGGTAAGGAAAGATGTTGCACCTCTGTTTGTTTGCTTGTTTTCACCAGCTTAACTCAGAAAGCTATACATGGATTGTGATGAAATTTGCCATAAAATGGATTAACTTAAAAGTGATAGATTATGGTGATGATCCATGAACTAATTAATTAATGGTTGATGATTAGTTAATTATTTATTTTTGGTAGAGGTCTGTGCTCTCTGAGTGCTGTCCTAGTTTGATACTGATCCTAGTGAAATGTGCCCTGTTCTTTAGTGTCATGCCAGTGAAGTGGATATATAACCAGTTTATGGACCTGGGACTGGATGTATACATACACAATTTCACCTTTAGATACCCACTCAAAATATTTGGAGAAAAGGCAAGTCTGAATGGATATATATTTTTTAATGTGGTCTTACATTTGTATTTTTTTATTGGACTCTTTTTTTTTTTTTTTTTTTTTTTAAGGTAAAAAATCTGATTATTTTTTCTTGGTGGTTTTGTTAACTTAAGACAAGTGTGTGTGTGTGTGTGTGTGAGTGTCCTCTACCACCCCACAACACAGAACATCACGGTTTTGCAAAATTTACCACTGTAATTAATGCTGCTCTTATCTTCCTTTTTACAGCAAATTCCTGGCCAAAATGTGTATGCCATCATGCGTGCATCTCGTGCAGCAAGCACGGAGGCCTTGGTGCTGACCATCCCCTTTAGAACAGTGACCACTGTAATGGACAAGACACATGGTGGTCTGGCCCTCATGCTGACCATGGCTAATCACTTCAGAAGTAAGGACTCATTCCCATTGAAACTGTCCTTCTATGTTAATTGATTCAACTCTGTGGGAACTCTTGCTGAATAAAATAATAATAGCAGTCTATAATTGAAATTCCCCAGCATATACTTTGCAGGTTTTTATTACAAATCCACACCTTTATTTATTTATTTATTTATTTATTTATTTATTTATTTATTTATTTATTTATTTCAGAGTCATCATATTGGGCCAAAGACATCATCTTTGTGGTGACAGAGCATGAGTACATAGGAATGCAGGCCTGGCTGGATGCTTATCACGAAACCAAATCTGAATGTGAGACCCAAACTAAACACTACCTTTCTGTTTTTTTTTTTTTTTTTTTCATACTTCTTGTACCCTTTAGAGTGTCGAGGGGAGAAAGAGTTAGAATTTTCTGTCTCTGGTGAGCTGGAATGTAGGTCGAGTGGGATGTTGTTTGATTGCAAGATCTCTTGTACTCCATCTACCCACATCTTCCTCGGCCTTCCTCTTGCCTTGACCTTTCTGGTTTAGATGGGTTTAAGAGGATGAAATTACTACTGTGTTTTCTGGTTTGGATCAATATCACTATATTAAATTTTTTCTGAAGTTTTTAAATAGTCCTTAAATAGTCCTTTAAACATCAAAAACCCAGAAAACATAGAATTATAGTATGTTAAGAAAGTCTGTTATTACAACCTATCATCCCTAATGTGTATTTTTCAGTGATTTCATCAAACAGCCTGGAAGGACACGGAGGAAGTATTCAGGCTGCCATTAACCTGGAAGTTCCCACCAATAAGATTTCATCGTTTGACTTCAGGCTTGAGGGTTTGAATGGGCAGCTGCCTAACCTTGACCTCTTCAATCTGGTGGTTCGTATAAGTCGCCAGGAAGGTTTTGATGTGCTGTTGAAAGAGCAGGTATTAATAGATTTCTGGAATTGTATTTTTTATTTGTTTTACATAGGTTGATGAATAACTTCAGCTTAATCAAATGAATATTTTGATAATTTGTTACAGTAATAATAATTCTATTTTGATGTTTTGATGCTTACTTGACACCCCCCTTCCCCCCCCCCCCCCAAAAAAAAAAAAAAAAAAAAAAAAAAGGTTTCAGCCTGTGTAGTATTTCAGTAACTGAAGCATTTGTGGTAATTGCACTTATGATACTACATAACAATTTCTGTTTTTTGATGGAGTGCTGTCCTTGCACTTATAAAAAACAAGCATGTAACATGCTTTTTTTATCTTATTATACTCATGTGCTTTGTGGCTTTCAGTGTTAGATATTTTACAACTACTTGGCTGAAACAAAATGTGCTCATTTAAAAATGATAATTCAAGTTTTTAAAATCTCTTGCTGGACTAACAGTTTAGTCCTATTGATGGCATTGCATCTCCCTCTTGGAGACATAAGCAACTTCTTCATTTTGATTAAATTGTAAATATAGTTACTGAAATCATCATCATCATCATTTAGAGCCTATAGTGTTCCACTGTTGGACAAAGGCCTCAGCATGCTTTTTCCATTGTTTCCTATCCTGAGCCTCAGATTTCCAGTTTGGCCAAGGTTTCTTCTTCCACGACTTCCAGTAGTCATCTAATTCATCCCTCCATCGTTTCACTGGCCTTCCTCTTTTTCTTTGTCCATACCTTGGGGTCCATTCCAAAGTGAAGTTACTGAAATAGATTAAAATAATTGACTTATGTTAAATTAAAAAAGATGACTTAACTTCACAGTATAAGCACACTAGCATGAGTTCATCTTAATATGTTTATCCACTCTGTACCAGCATGACCCCTATCATCCAGAGACCTTTGAGGGTTATCTGCAGAACCTGAAGACCATGTTCTTGATGATGTGGACCCAGGCTCCAGGCAGCGCCAATAACAACCACGGGGTCTTCCTCAAGTATAACATAGAGGCCCTGACCTTAGTGGGAAAGAAAGAGAAAGGAAAACATGCTCAGGGATATGGGCCCATGGGAAGGTGATCTGTTTTGATGTTTTTTTGTTTTTTTTTTCTTTTATTTATTTATTTTTGTAATTTTTGAAAAGTTAGAATATATTCCAGTTAGTTGATTCATTCATCAAAAGATCAACGATGGTGATAACTGAAGTGACACAAACCTTGTATTTATATACTCAGTTACTTACAAAAATGCATACATGTCCACCTGCATGCTCGCACACACGTCAGAAAGACAGATACATTGAAGACTCATATTTTTAGAATCGCCTATCAGTAACTGTCATTTAGTTAATTTTAGTTTTTAATAAGGTGTACTGTAATTTTATGATTAATTTTAAATGTTGTGATTTTAGTTTCTTATCATTTTAGAATATGAAATAATTGGTTCTTTAAATTAGTTCTTAGTCCTTTAAAATTGTAATGTGTTCTTATACTAGTATTGTGTTATTTAGCTCTTTTAAGTGAATGTTGTAAGGCGCATTGAGATTTTTAATGGAATGCGCCATAGAAAAATGAATTATTATATTATTATTATTATTACATACAAGTAGACAAAGATGCTTTTTTATTAACAAAAAATATAACATATATATTGTCGTTTACATTTTCAGGACCATTTTATGTTTAAGCCCAGCTGGTATTCATGAATTAATAATTACACAGACAATGCTTTCCTACTGTCAAATTGTCAGCTCTACTCAAGAGCCTTCCTCAGGACAAACGGGTCATGCGCTGATGATCTAACGCTGAGGTGTAATTATTGACCAGTTATCCAGCTGGTATTGTTAAGCCCTACTTCACTGTCGCTTTCTTCTTGTTACAGAACAGTAGAGGGCATCTTCCGCAGTCTAAACAATCTTCTGGAGAGATTTCACCAGTCGTTCTTCTTCTACCTCCTCCCAAGTACCAGCAGATATGTCTCCATAGGTCTTTATATGCCTCCGTTTGCCATAATGGTGGCAGGGAGTCTTATCAAAATATCCTTTACTATGATTTATTAGTGATCATTCAAACAGGTTGTTAGAAAATGATAAAAGCTTAGGCCTTATTTTGCTCATGTTTATGTTATATTGAACATGCATATTATATATGCATTGAATATTATGTTATCTACACTTTTTGATTATTCAACTTATTATTAATAAACAGTGGTTCTCAACATATTTTCTTGAAGTAAGGCATGTTATTTTTGTCATGGATCTCAAAAAGAAAAAAAACAGATGTGACTTTATCATATTCACTGTTTAAAATTGTGATTTAGTGTATACATGCAATTGCTCTTGAATGATATTGCTCAAATTACAAAAGAATCATATAGGTTGTTATAACTTAACAGTCTTCAGGCAGTGGCTATGTGGATTAGCTGTACCGAGACGGTGGAGGAAGGTGTTTCAACTGAAAAAGAGAAGAAAGAAACAGATCAGGCTAATGGAGAGAGTGTACAGAAAAATGAAGTCAAAGATCACAAGGAGGAAAAGGTAAATAGTAGCGCAGCACATATTTTTCTAAAATCGAGATCAGGGATTAAAGTAGAATTGGGATTTGATACGGCTTTGTGAGTAACCTTGGCCTTGCTTTTCATAAAACATTTATTTTGTCAAATTTTACACAGGAATATTTGTTACAGATGTAGAATTAAATCTTTACTCCTGAAAGTATTCCAAATATTATTGATTATTCAGACATGAGCGCTTTACATGGAATGATGGAATTCTAAGATTTTAGATTCAGTTCTGATGAAACGTAAAATAAGTTGTCAATGGTTCCATCAATGTGGAATTATTTGCATTGTCATAACTAAATTATCTACAGAGAAGTTCTTTGGCTTCAGCCGTGAATGAACCACGCTTTGAGAAGCCCTATTAACGCAAGGAGTGAATATCTCTTACAACACTGAGCTAGCTGCTTACATTCCATTACTTTTCTTTGTGTATATTATAAGTACTTTTAATTATTTCATTTTTATGTTTAATACTTTCATTGAAGGAGGAAGAAAGGAAAGGCCTGCTGAGCGTGATCCCCATTCTCTTCATCACGCAGCTGTTTGGCCTCCTTGCCTACTTCAGTCCCGATTTCTTCGTAGATCTTGGGATGCCATTACACCTACATGTGGCAGAAGCTGTTCATTATGGGATGCTAGCTTTATTTCTCTCATCCTTGGCCATGCCAAGGTTTTTAAAAAGGTAGAGAATAAATATTAAGTCTGGACTCGTAGATCTTGTCACATGTCTTTGGGTTTAGTCTTGAGGCAAGGATTGAAAATTAAAGGGTATTAGCTGGACTTTCTTTAGCAAATTTCCATGTCCGTTTAAGTAAATTCTTACTATTAAAACCCTGTTTGAAGAAAACCAAGAATAAATGTAATGGAAAGATGAATACTTTCAATTTTCTTATGTCTTTTCTTGTACCAAATATAATTATTTTGAGATATAATTTAAATAAAATTACAAAAAGAGGTTGGTGTGACTCACTAACAGGAACCCAAATTGTTGTTCATATTAAAAGATAGTAACAAGTTTTTTGGAAAAATATCATTATTAGCAATATCCATGCTGTGCTGTGTTAAGTAATGTAATCTAATGTAGTGTTTTATAGCATAGTAATTGCATTTAATTTAGTATTGAAGGAAAACATTAACAGATACCTTTAAAAGTATATAATTTTTTGGGAGAAAATTGACCATCTTTGCTAGTCAGTAAATGAAGTGAGCATTTACATTTATTGTTTACTAATAGAACCGTGTCATTTTCCATGTAATTATTTTGTTCATGATTTCAGGTCACTCTCAGAAAAAAGCCGTCCAGATTGGAAGCTATTGAAGTGTGTCTCACTTATTGTGCAGGGCTTGGTGCTGTTTAGCATTGCACTCATGAATATATCTCTAGCATTTTTTCTGGCTGCCGTAATGGTGCCAGTGTGTGTGGCTATGTGGCCCAGTAATAATAGGTTGGTATCGGATGTTAGGGCTTTTGTGTTGATCATGTCTTTGAATTTGAACCCCATGTTGCTGTGTGAGTTTTTCATTGCTTGACTTCTGCATTCATGATGCTGTCAGAGATATTTTGTACCATGTAATAAAAATGATTTTCATTTTAATTTTTTTTTCAACTTTGTCACTATTTTTTGACTACCCGAATCTAAATTTTCAAAAAAAGTTGCATTTTAACTTTTTAATTCCAAAAAAATTCTTAATTATTATTTTTATTATTTTTTTTTTTCAGAGTTGTCCAGATACTCCATGCCTCATTCCTCCTCCTGATATCTCCATTCCTTCTTTTATACATAACAGTGGTAGCCAATCAAATGATGACAGAGAAAGTAGCAGATGTGGCCTCCCTGCTTGTACAGAGCTGGGATCACATGAAGACTCCACTCATCCTGGGCATGGTAGAGAGCCAGCTATTGGGCAGCTGGACATATTGCGTCATCTGTTTAGGAATTTTTCCAAACTGGTTGGCATTTTGGTGTCTCATATGGATTGGGTCATAACAAACAAGAAAGTGCAAGCCTGGGTTACGATGGAGCTATTTATAATGTTGCAGATGTTTTACAGAAGGATAAATATCACTATATCACGTGAAGCACAGGGCTTAGGAAAAGCTCATGTCTGTATCTAGCACCTCTGTGTCAACAGAAAGGCAGCAAGGACACCAAATGTTGGTCAAACTTGTGAACCATTCAAGTATGAAAGGATTTGTTATATCTGTAACATCCTCGGTCATATCTATTTTGTTGAAAGGCGTGGGAAGATATGCCTTTGTCTTGGCTGTGGGATGGGTTTGGACAGTGCTTAGAAGTGCAATCAATAATTGCCATGTCTTTTTTTTCCTCAACAATCTCAAAAGACAGTCTAGACTTAGTGCATTGATCAAATAATTTTCAGCTTAGTAGCAGTCACAGGTCCCCTTTTCAAAGATCTCAGGGACAGCATAAGGTTATGTAGTTTAGTTCATCAATTTTGTTGGAAATTGGATATTGATTGAATTGAAACAGCTTTTACCTACAACCATGAGACTTTTCAGTTATGAAAAAAGATAAAATGGGACAAAGTATGGATAAGAACTGCTCATTGGTACACCAATTGTATTTGGACAGAATGACTTCAGAATAATTTAAAACATTGTATTCAGACGAACTATGGATGAGAGTTGCTCCTTATGGTAAATGAAATGTATTCAGACAAAAATGGATAAGAATTGCTTGTTACGATAAACTAGTTGTATTCGGACACAATATAGATAAAATTGCTCAGTAGCTTAGATTGGTCAAACCAAGATTGGCAGTCCTCTAGAAATGGGCCTGAAGTGCATTTCTGGACTTTTGGGTCCAAAAGATGACTGAAATTGTTGGTATTCTGGTACATTTTTCCTTTGCGTACAGTGAAAGAATTGTATATGAACTAGGTTGTGTAAAACTGGCACAGGGTACATCATGTATGTGTGATTAGGAGTAGGAATGCTCAAACGTCCTTGTGTTACCAGTGAGTTGAGCCATCGGATGATTGATTTATAAAGAACACATGCGGAGACAATCCTAAGTCAGTCGCTGTTTTTATACATCTTATTACTATAAGACGGAAGGGACTGAGTTTGCTCTTAAAATAGAGCCATTTTTTGTTATTTGATAACTAGATATATCATGATTCAAAACGATTGAACTTCATTATGGTAGAAAACGCCGAAATTGGTGTCACAAACGTAGACGTGTGATGACGTTGAATGGTTAGGAATTACGCAAGGGACTACGGAAATGAACTCGATCTAAAACCCATTTTGGGTAGAGTTTTGAATTAATGGATAACAATTTCTGTCAAAGTTGCGTTTATGAAATATTTTGTGGTGATGATTTCCTTATTGGGAATGATTTCATACATGTTCGCTGAGCAAATGTAGGTTACAGCCATATTTTCAATAATAGGTTGTCATGTATTTTTTATCTTAACCTTGGTTTTCCAAGACCAAGCTTTATCAGTCCTTTGTGTAGTTTGGGTTACACGATTCTGTTGTAGAACATACTGCTCACAAGGACATAAAATGTTAAAGAGATATAGGCATCATGAACTTTACATTGTATCACAATTTGATCTCCACCGAATGTTGTCTGTAAGGTGTACGGAAAGCAAATAAAAATTGTCAAGTATAAAAAAAATGATTTTATATATATATATATAAGATGCGCCATGTATTTCAACCAGTGCTTAATAAAGAACAATGTAAACAAGGAATCTTAGGATTGCTTGTAGACTTAAACTCAATACTGGGTCTTTCCAAACAAAAAAAACCCCAACGACTCCTATTCTGTGTAATATATACACAACCCTGACTTGTCCCATTATTTTTATATATATTAAAATAACCTATATTGAAAAAAAAATCGATGAACAAAACGGTTATGCAAATATTACGTGAAATGTGTCACTGACGTGACTCAAATGTTCATTTTTTGTCAAATTACTATTGAAAAAAATCCCTTGAGAACTCCCATAATATGCAATATAGCGTACACGATGTGATTAATATATTGTCCAGAAAGGTGTATAAACGCAATTTGGTATGAGAATAAGGAAACAATTTCAGATCGTTCCTTTCTATAATTACAAATGGTCTTAATGAATTTCGCTTCAAAGTTGACAGAAAATGTCAAATTAACTTGACATTGCACAGTGTTGCCTTTCGCGTCTAGAATGCGCAGCCTTGGAAGTTTCTTTAGCATAATTGTGTCGGAGATTGGCAGTGCATCATAATCACGCAAAGTAATAAGACTGCCCAATCTCCGTTTGTAAACCTATATCTCCTAATTCCCAATTTTTCACGATGAGTCGTACTCGGTCGTGTTTCCGACCACATTAGACCGGCCTATCTCTAAGAGTCTAAGATTTCAAAGTTTAAATCATTTAGGGGTGGTAAATTCTCGTGAAGCCGTGCTCTGCTATGCTTTGGTACCTTACTGAAAGCAGACAATCGGGTAAGGCTGGCCATACCGAGTTAAATCCAATCAAATTAACTGGGAACACGACTTCAGACCATAAGTCTTAGCCAGGTTAAGGCAGGTGAGGCCCTTGTCTCTATTCAGTGTTTTCCGCAAATTTATTGTCCGCAATATACGGGCCCCGGGGGAGTGATTTGGAGCTAGCTTTGCCAGATGATCAGTATCGTTGCTTTTCAAAGATTTGCCGAGGGTGCGTATCCAAATGTCTGAGAAGTCATTCAAGAACAAGCGAATATTTGAGTCACGTCAGTGGCGCACACATTTTGCGTAATATTTCCATTATAATGACTTTTATGATTTGCGTAATATTTGCATAATAACTGTTTTATAATTTGCGTAATATTGGCATAAATACTGTTTTTAATTTGGGTAATATTTGCATAATTACTTTTTATAATTTGCGTAATATTTGTACAATAACAGTTTTAACCTATATATATATGTATAAGGAATATATAGTAGTTAGAGAGCCTTTAAATGTAAAAGCATTTCTGTGCTCAATAAAATCATTATTATTTATATCACTATTTAATTATTATTGAATTCTTGTCATATTTGAGGGGACTAGGCCTATAATATAAAACAGAGAAAAATAAATGGGGCAAATCAAAAGTATGCAAAAAAATACACTAAGTATGTGCCTCATTGACGCGACTCAAATGCTCACATTTATGTTAAGTTACCCTTAGGCGAACTAAACGCGTATGACGGGATTCAACTGAAATAATTTATAAGGTTATAAAAAAGCAACAAAAGCAATACTTGTAATGAATAATATTACCAATCAATTAAGCAGATATGTGAAACCCCATATGTACACGAAAATTGCTTAACAAATTTCCATTTCTCCCATTCCAAGCAAGAGCAATACGACGATCTTATATTTGAACCATATATCTGGTGTCAGCGTTATGATTTATGTACCAAGCATTCACAGTATAGTAATTCACCGTTCTTTTTACATTAGTTCTCGCACACTAACTGCATCAGTTATTTCTTCATGTACAGTATATTTAATACCTCTGTTTGATATATAATGGTGCCATATTCTTACTTTTGGTTGTAATATCAGCAAAATGAACGCTGTGCGCGGCACCTAATCACTGCGTGCTTAATCATTTTGAAGTATTGCAAGTCTTATAGAAACTGAACTGCAGTGCCGGAACGCTCTGGTCTGTCAAGTGGCATTAAGTTATCAATATTTATGGCGACGAATGAAATAAAACTATGCATTATTGCCAAACAAAAGTGTTAGTTAAAAGCATTGGTTTGTCCACTTAACTCAACTGACAATGAAAAGTGTTAAAAAACAAAAAATAGGGAACTGTTTTTGTTGCTTTGAACTACGCTACGTCTTCTTTTTGTAGACCATTTTCAGCTTATCACACTTTGTATCTGGCAAAAAAGAGAAATAAGTATTGCTCCCCATCCTTCATAACTTGTTCGTGGCGAAATTTGTTTAATCCAAACGGCAGCGCATGGACCACGTCAGTGTTTAAAGTGAATGGAAAAGGTGACGTTTGATAGAGTATTCAGGAGATTTATGTTTGAGAATGGAGAAAAGTCCGTTTTTATTCCCAAACCATGACCATTAAGTGTTTATAACGTAATTGCTCTAGGTAATGAAAGAAATCAAGTCATCTCCGGCAGTTCAAAATTTTTTATGCATCACCTCGAAATAATAAAAGCGATTTTCAGTGATATTTTATGAATGAAGTGATATTGATTTCGCCACATTTTCGTTATAAAACGACTCGCGCGCACACACACACACACACACACACACGCACGCGCAGACACACACACACGCTCGACACCGTTTATAGTGCACTTTATATACATTTAAACACACCGTCCTTCCATTTCCCTAATGTCTAGTACAGTAACTCGTTACTCAGGTGAGGCAAGAGCAAGATGACTAACACGATAAGAGGTAATACGACAGAGAGAAAATGACAGTAAATGGACATAAAGCTAAGCCACAATCGGCCATCAAGGCAATGACATTAACCGCGTATCGCCCTAGTTTAGTTATGACAGCTTGATTTATGCAAGGATTTATCTTTATTGGCATCCATATAATTTACTCATTTGCTCCTAAAGTACGGCAAAGCAAAAGGAAGATAGAAACAATGTCAGAAAACCAGAGGGTTTCACATCGTTTATTTGTCGAACCAGTCCAACAGTCTAACTCTAAACGGTCGCAAAGATGTTGGTGGAATAAAAACAATATTGCTTGACTGTTAATCATTTTTAACTGGAGAAAACACTACAACATAATTATAATCTGCATGTAGAACATCTAAAACAATGACATTCTTGTTTCATTATGGCGAGGACACAACATTGAATCCTATATTGTGATAAGCGTGTGCATCACGTACCATAAGACGCTAAGTAGATAAGGCATCCACCCTTTCAGCTGATTACTATTCCCATTCTTCTCAATCCACAGTTTATCCTCTATAGGCCATTAATTTAAGGTGTTTTCTCGGTTCATTTTACACCAAACATAAGATTTTTTCATGCTTTTTTTAAACTTAAATGTATATTGTGCGCGTTTGAAAATTCCCCAGCCTATTTTCTTTGCTTACGTATCCTGCAAAAGCTACTACTGCATAGCTTTTAAAAATAGTATCCTCAAATAAAAGTACCTGACGTCGAAAATTCCTTCTGTAATGAACAGGAAGATATGTCCTTCTATATGACTGTCCAGTCATTAAGAACTAAATCATTTAATTAATCGTGGAATAAATCATCGAATCCAAGTGCACGAACGGGTCAAGCAATTCGTCAGTAGTAGAAATTTTTCTTTCAAGAAAATTTATTTTGGCGAGTAAATTTCGCGCAGAGTACCTTAAACCTTTCGTGCACATTATATTCTGAGAATGATTTACTAGTACGTCATTAAGAGAAAATTGCAGTTACGAAAACCAATTGCGGTTACGGCATTAGTGGATGCGAGATATAGGAAACCCAATCCCAATATAGAGGCGCATTTCACATGCTTTAACATAAAATAATAATAATAAATAAATAAATAAGTAAATAAAAAGTAAAAAATAAATAAATAAAATTGAATGTATTCAAAGTTGCATTCAATTTTTTAAAAACATATATGTTTATAGTACAACAATCCACGGCTGTCTCAATTTTACATGTACTTTTAATTCATACCATGTCTATACATCGTGTGGGTAGCCTAAATGGCAACGTATATTTCGGTAACGTACCGATATGTTTATATATATTTTTAATTTTTATATCGCGTTCCGATATATTTTAGTTTGTAGTGATTCAGTCGTGGTAAATTATATATGACGTTTTATATATGATGTTTTTATAAATATTCAAACTGGAACTGCAAGGGGTTTGCTTCATGGCTAATACTACGTTACGTAGGCCTGTGTACCCCAGAAAAATTGTCAGAAAGTTTCATCTTGCCACAAGCACTTGGTGCAATAGGAAACAGGGTTTTCTGTTGCTAACTGAAAAGTATATTGTGATTCTATGATAATTTGGCATTTCTGATGCAATATTTGGACCAAGAATGGAAAACAGTTAACTTAATGCTTATTTTACTGTCAGCAGGGTGTACTCCCCCCCCCCCCCCCCCGCTTTTTCAATATTTAGTGACAAGCAAACAGAAGTCGCTCAAAAATTAACTGCTCTATACAGAATATTATCATAATTTTTTACAACGTTATACTTGTAAAAGATTAATTAAAGAACAAAACCAGTGATGATTGAATTTTCAAAGTGAGTAAAACGTTGCCACTAAGTTAACTAAGTTCCCTTTTGGGGTTAAACGATGAATTACTTTTTATTATTATTCATGGTTCCAGGAGAGTGAAACTTTGATACAGACTTCTTCAAGTGGGACCCTTAAATAATCAAACATAGTTTGTAATCTGTACACCGAATATTTTAAGAGCACGCCTGTGACCTCATATGAAGCTGTAAATTGGGTTTGGGTGAGGAGCGAGAATTATTATAGTATTAATTATAAGTATATTTTTGTCTTGTTTCCTTGTTATACTGTCAATATACAATTGTCCTAATTATGTAGAAGTCGAACAGGAATACAATTATCTGCTTAACCTTCTTGGACCTTTTTTCTAAGAAATACTTCCGTTTTAAGCTGTTTTTTGCATCACAGTAGGTGACAATCAAGAAAGAGCTTACCTACTGTTTTGAAAGTTACTGGCGTTAATTTGTATTAGCTTTGTGTGGCACAAGTGGATCAAGTTTTAAGCCCAATTTTACGCAGTTATGTCTTAAATTTACAAAAGGTTTAATCAATTCTACTCGGGAGCGAAATAGGACATTATGTTTCTGATTAATTAAAGCCTAGGTTACATATGCCAATTGCGTCTTACGATGAAACTGTATACCATGAATGTCTATATGGTGTTTAGCGAGTATGTTTGCATAAAATACCGACGCCATACCATATCTCCGAAATGGCCTTGAGTTCACGTCGAGGAAAGTTGGTTTGTCAGTTGAAAATTTATCATACGGAGCGGTTTCGATCTCAGTACAGTTGCTTAACACCCTCCGAGCAGTTTCATTGTTGATTGATAAGTATTCGGTGCATCCCTTTCCTTTTTTATCCTCACAGTCAAAATAAGGAGACATACAACTTCAAATTCATACATATGAATTATACTAAGTTTCTGATCCCATCAGAATAGGGAACTAACTTGTCCGAGGGCGACTTACTACAAAGCTTGCCGTCCAATCCGCTAATAGACACTGAATAGATATTCCGTGGGGAAGTATTCAAGTGGGTCGGCCATATTTGACCCTCGAACTAGTTAGTCCCCTCTTCTGAATGTGGCCTATGACACCTTTATAGTTGTTATGCCTCCTAAAACCGCGGTAACAATATTGACAACTCCGTGTCACGAGATAATCTCGCGATGCAGCACTGCCACTGCACTATCACTGCAAGCCCACTGCAAGCCCACAGTGTATGGCTAATGTGCAGGGTATGACATAATCATTTCTTCAGAGTTACTCAAGGAAACTGCAAAGTTACACAAGAGAGCAGCTAGGTCTGTTGAGCAATATGAAGCCTGCGTTATATACTATGTCGGACACGACACCGAGAAATTAGCTATATTATTTCAACCACCGAATCAGTGACTTGAACCATGGTGGGATTGTGTAGATACCGACTGCGAACATTTCGTTATTGGCTGCGAATAATTTGTGACCTTTTTTCGTCCATTTCTTACGTACTAGTACGGCAATTTCGTTTCCAAGGCCTGAAGAACCCAGTACAATGTTAGTACAGAATGTGCGGCACGAGGATAAAAAATACTTAGTTGTGTTTATTTATTTATTTATTTTTTAATATGTGTCATCCTCGATGAAAAGTTATGTATTTTCTATCCAAATGCAAACAAGCGTTTGACGAGGCAGCCAAGTAATGATTTTTTAAAACCACTTGGTCTATGACATGAACTGTCATACAAGATATGAAAGCTTTAACACAGACGGTTTTCACCACACTCATCTAATTAATTGATGCCTTGGGTTTCAAAGTGTATTCTATCAGAATCCACATTAATTTATTGCTTAATAACCTCTAAAAGCCAGGCTGTCAGATAAGGACCTGTGGCGGTTTTGGAATTTTGCAAATTTGGATTGTAAAGTAAACAGGTATGTTTGTCATTGGGGCAGCCGTTGGTTTTGATTGTTCGTGGTACTGTTTTGGCCAAGTACGGGGCTCTTACATACCAGTACAATGCAAAATGGCAATATATAAAGCATCGAACAGAGGATCACAAAATGAAGAAGACTATTCATTTTTCTTCAAACTTTTATTGAAAACAATAAATAACAACATTGGTTTAAAACAATGTGTAACAAAATATATTTAAATATTTTATATGCTATCTACACTTCTTCAGATCTTTTAACCGTTGAGCAGGAACAAAGTATAAATGGATTTCTTTGTATATTCAAATGTTCCAATAAAAATTCGCCTTATTACGCATTTTCACACTTTTTCTTATAACAAGCAATAGTTTAGGATAGGGGGTGGGTGGGTCACCTCTTCCTCCCCCTTCTCCCCCCCCCCCCCCCCAAAGCAACCCTTCAAAAATGAAAACTAATAAGATAAAAAGCCTAAGAAAATCCAGACAATGTCATCTGAAGCAGCTTTCTGTCCCTGTCCCTTACACCCGTACCCCCTAGTAAAATCCTGGATACACTAGTTTAGCAATTGACAGACAGGCGTGTTGGGCCTCGTGTATGACATAAAAAACACTTGTAAAGCTTCTATTTCGTAACTGGTTAAAAGTGCGCTAGCTGTGGCATTTGGTGGTTCACTTAGAGTGACAACGTAATCGGGTCTACCATCACTTTTAATTTCCGAATGGTATTTACCGGTAGTACATTAACAAGAGCATTACTGTGATAGCTTTTTGCGAGCGCATAATACCATTTTTCTAAAATTCTTGTTAAATATGTCGATAACAGGTACCTAAGTTTATACGACGGAAGTAGTTGTAAATGTATATAAGGTGGTTGAAAAAATGCTTCTTGAAATTAATGCAATTATTCATTTACTGGTTAATTTGTGGATATTTTGTGGTTAATATGGACGTTAGTGCCAAAAGATCTGCGGGTAGTGTTAGTAAACGCCTATTCCGTTTATAAAGCTTGTACTCGACTGGGAATCCAGCCTGTATCTGGGGACTCCGGAACCCTCTTTATTATGGCTAAGGGATGGGATTTTATATAATTTAAGACCCTTGTAGCCGCTCTGTAAGAAAATTGTTCTTTGCTACTTATTTTCTTGCCAGACTCGTTGTCATGTTGATACAGTGACGGGGCAAACCACTTGAGGCTATTCTCAATAGAAAAATATCACTGGGAAGATTCCATAAAAACAAAGATAAGTGCCTCATACGACTTCATCTACAATAAGTGTCGATACGCGCACATCTTTGTGCAACCATCTAAATCCTCTTCAGAGACAACTAATATTTTCATTTATTTTTTTTTATCAAAGCAACAGCCTCTGCAACAATTTGTAACCAAAATTAAATGTTCTGATAACTAATTGATGGCTACATGCTCTTATGCAACCAAATACTTTTGTAATTTGTGGCAAAGCTATTTACTTATATGAAATATATATATAATTCATTCTTACCCAAATGAAGAATTCTGTGCACTGACATACAGGACCAGTAGGATGTTTTGACACAATATAATATATCCATATTTTGACATAATATAGAATACGAACTTTTTTCATAATTTCATACAAAAATATTCTCACACTGAGAAAAATGATCGTTAATAATGATATAAAATACATGTATATTTAAGTTATAACAAAGAATCTAAGTAGGCTATAGCGATTTTATAGAGATATTTGTATTTAAGATAAAGCTTTTAACTTCAGTAATCAAGAATAACATAAATGCCCCCCCAATATAAATGTTTTTTTCTACACTTTCCCATTTCTTCCTTAGATCGGCTGTCTTTTGAAGACCCAGTAGGAAAAAAGACCAAAAAATATATATACACCTTTTTTTTTTTTTTTTTGCTTTTTCACATACTTTTTGCAGACATTCCAGAGTGGTTTAATTCTCTTCTGTTTGCATAAAGTGAGATACTTTTAATGTGATGAATTAATAGATTAAAGCCTATGCAAGGAGTGTTGTCTGAAACTCTAACTAGAATACGAACTTACTTATACTTCTAATGGCAATCAGGGAGGGGTATCTAAAGCACCACACAGAGAATAAATAATTGCACATTTCATTTGTCCCTTACAGTGATATCGATCAGGTTTTATATTGCTTAAAACCTTCTTTATTTGAGAGGGTAGGGTGGGATGGGGGCGGGGCAGGTGTTCCTTGACTTCCCTCCTGTTGTACTGCTTTGTAAAAATCAGTGATCACAATTTATATCATGTTCATTTAAGTTAGGCGTGAGTGTGATCAATAATTTTACGAGCGCACATTTATTGTATGATACCCAGTGGATCTCTTCCACAATAGTACGCTTAATCAGTAAAACGCAGCGAATCGACTTAGAAATAGCAATAGAATGGATCGTTTGTGGGCGTTTGTACGTAGGCAAATCTGTCATAATATGTGAAGTGTATGAGGTTCATTGTGGCTTAGCAACCTCCGGTATAGTCTCCAGATCTATTTTTTAAAAATCATTTTAATTGTTACCAGTTTATGGCAAGAAAACAAAGACCAATTGAAATAGCGCTCTGCTGATGAAGCTGCATCTAGTAACTTCAAACATTATCACCTTTTCAAATAGTGATTCCTTTATAATAATTATTAAATAATTTATAATTGAGCAAATCCGAAGGAAGCTAAAATTGCTTTTTTTATACAACGTACATAACACAAATTACAAAACCGTTGATGGGCCTTTCTAACAAAACAGGCAGTCAAGGCACTCAAATGTACAGACATATGGTCGACTAAAGACTGTAACTGGCTCGGAGTGAGGCTAAAGAATGAAAATTTGATTTGGCCACTGGAAAGGGATCAAAACCACCACCCTGAAACTCGTTTGGATCCTAATAACAACCCTTTGAATGAATTAAAAGGATTAGCAAAGATTGACAAAGGACAATATACTGATTGCTAACGTGAAAAGGCGATCCACTTTCTTGTAACCAAATATTTCGTGGCAATAATCTATGCATTTTTCTTGTTCATCATTTTAAAAATTAGGAATACGGCCTCTTGGGAAAATGCAAATTAAGGTGACGATATAGCAGTTACGTCTGAAGGGAGTCATTGATATTAACAGAAATATCGCTGTCACTATGAATGCTGTAACCGTAATGCTTAAATACGTACAATTACGGTTCATTTCCCCCAGTCACTTGTGCACTATGTCTAATCCAGTTGCAATAACACTTGCGACAAGATAGACTCACTAAATCCCAGTTACACTCCCATGCTAGTAAATCTTAAATCGACTTGTCGGCCTAAACTTGATCGAGCACGATAGACATATTCTAAGACATGTTGGTAGTTTATCGTTTTTGAATCATTTTGAATCAAAACGGCAACACTTGCATATGTTGGTGAGACCCTGAGTCCACGACCAAGTGTCACCTTTGTTTGGCATTAATTTCTATGCTGCGTTCTTAGAGTATCTCGTTTTTAAGTAATAGGCCTTCAAGCACTTAAGCTCAACCCCATGTTTCGAGCTAAGACTGTCATCTCAGAAAACGCCTCACGCACATATAGATGGCTAGCTAAGACTGTCTATTATCTTTGTTGCGTGTATAAGTAGTCTTTGTGCTGCTGTGGTTGGTAGTCCACGTTTGCACCTAGAATAGTGCTGCACTTAAACGTTCTGCTGAGAAAATACTAAGTAATACTTATCCCCGAAGGACATCAAGGGTTTTACCACCTCAGAAAGAGGAACACGATATCATGTTCAAACTGTTACAAAAACAAGTTCTCTCGTTCCTTCTTTAAATAAAACAAAGTGTGAAACGTATTTCAAGGCTATCACAATGGCGAGTCTATTAAAATTTAACATGATATAATACAAGGTTCTCTGGGAACTAGTTCTCTATTTATGCTCGCAAAGCTTACGTGTTTGTCAATACAGGCGGCACTGGGGAGCAAACAGTCTGTGCCAGCCCTTATTGCAGGGTTGCAATCTCTGCCCGGCTGGTGCACCATGCTCCATTGGTTCTGGTCCCCTAGAGGTATTGAGTAAAGGGACTCGCTGTGCGGATTGCCATTGCGCTTGCAGCAACACAGGATCTTCATCAAACCATTGCGGAATTGTGTGTTGAAGAAGAGGTAGAGAACAACGTTATAGCAGACGCTGAAGACGCTCAAGGTGATGCGGACCATGTTAACAGCGCCACCTAGGTTGTCGCTCTCGTCTGCGTCTGTCAATTTCTGTAAATATAAAATGAAAGAACCATTTTAAGGGGTAAGACATAAAAAAAAAATGTCAAAAGCGTTATATTTTAAACGGCCTTTGAAAGGCCGAAACTGCTGCACAAAGATCATATTTTTCTTTCACTTGCACACCAGCGCGCATAGCTGTGTGCGCATGAGAGTTAAAGTGAAAGTGCCAGGGCGTCACTTACCCCAATTATCAACAAAACGAAATACGGTAACCACAACGTCACAAAGATGGCGGCGACCAAGATCAACATCTTCACGATCCTGACTTTTATCTTAGATACCGCCAAATTCCCCTGCGTTCTCGACGCCCCGGTCTCTCCTTCCAGTTGCAACTGTGGCACCACTTGATGACTTTTCTTCCATAAAAACATAGCTAACATCACATAGTTCGTCAGAATCACGACGGACGGGATCACATAGGCAATAAACAAGAGAAAAAAGCCATTCGCGATGGCATATTCTCTGGTAATGTTTCTGTCCCTGCCGCACACGCCATAACTTTGGTTGCCTTCCCAAACCGTGGTCTTTTTGTACTCTATGAAAGTAGGGATGGAGAGAACAATTGCAAGCAACCAGAAGAGCAGCGAGAGCTTGATGGCGGTGAAGTAAGGCATTTGAGGAAGATCCATACGAATAATGGCGCGTCGCCGCTCCCATGAGACGGCCACCATGCTGTAGATGGACGTCATAATGCAGACCAGAGGCAATGCGTTGACAACCTTGCACAGGAAAGCATCTGTAATTAGGATGAAATTTTTTAAGGCTTAGACCGCATTCTCAACGAATTGAGCCAGGCTTTACAAATCCTGAGAACTAAAAATGGCGGACGTACATGAAAGAAAAACCGCCTAATCTTTCTTTCATGTACGTCCGCCATTTTTAGTTCTCAGGATTTGTAAAGCCTGGCTCAATTCGTTGAGAATGCGGCCTTAGACATATTTTGGCTTATAACAAGGTCATGCGATACACATGTACAAAGTAGGACCCTTTATTGTAAAACAAAGGTGTAACTAGAAAAGCACTCTGAGAGCGCAGACCTCCGCCAAGGCAGCGATTTTTTATTTTTATTGATTATTGATTGATTATTGATCCGGATCACCATTAAAAACTAATCATCTGTTCTTTGGCCCACTTCTGACAGTTCCTGAAAATTTCATCAAAATCGGTCCATAACTTTTTGAGTTATGTTGATGACAAACAAACAAACAGGGGTGAAAACATAGCCTCCTTGGCGTAGGTAATTGAGCGTTCTAGAAATAGATAAGCTCTGGTGACCCTGGTAGTGTATGGAAAACATAGTGTGTTGAAACCATTGTGTGCACACAATCTGATAATTTTGTGCGTGATTTCACTTCATGGAAATTGGAACACCATTCATGCTCCCCGAACTAGAGGATACGAAAAAGTTGTTTAAAGATATACTACCCGCCTTTAAAACTGCCCCCTAGTCATCATATCTCTATGTGTACCTATGAAGCAAAGCTTATAATCCTATATGACGTGACAGAGAGTCCCCCATGATAGTAAGTCCGGTTCCCATAATTTTGCACAGGTAAACCTCGCCCTAGATTTTGACCCATTTTAGTCGGGCTAACCCTAACCTGTATAATTACACGGAGGGTGAACTCTCCGTTTCACCGACCCTCAGTTTCTCCACATCCTATACAGGTCGTAAAAACGATAAAACCTTCATATAAAAAAAAATACCACATGTCTACATTTCCTTCCGAAATGTATAGAGAGCATAGGGGTTTAAATGACTGGCCCGTCATTGAGAACTAATTTACAAATGGGAAAATTCCCTTTTTAGGAAAATTCCGGATTACATACATATTAATCAAAAGAGTTAATGGAGGCAAAGGAGACAAAGCTGGTGAAAGAAATGCCTAAAAAAAATCTTAGGTCTGCCCTTTGTATTAATGTAGTTTTTCTGTTGGCCTTCTGAGTTTCAGTGCAATGTTTTTTTTTCCCGAATTGTAGAATTTTTTCAAACGTCCGATATATTTTTGTAATACATGGTGCCCTAGTATAAATGTGACCCCAAAAAAGTCAATTGTAGAATATGGTCCAAATGTGTTTTGTTTGTTGAAGGCACACTTGAATTCTACGGGCGAAGTTGTCGATAGCAGAACGTAGTACATTTTTAGCATATTCTATCAATGATGATAAAATCTTTGCCAGTAACGTTAGTGACATTGATTGCAGCAGTATATTTTCCAATTTCTCTAGTTCTCAGAAACATATGGGCTGTATAAAGTTTGTAAACAGAAAAAATGACATTCACATTTCCTGGGTTACATTTATGCTAATGGGACAACTTGTATTTGGTTGCTTTGAAAAACAGACGTATTAATTTTCGACACAACAAAGATAATTTGGCTTTTATCGATACATGTAAGCATAAAGTGTTATTGAGATATTTATCTTTGCAAACATCAAGAGCAGGAAACACGGCAGTTCGCCTCAACTTGTTTTCAACGGACTCGTATAATCGCCAGATTTTCTGTATTCTATTCAATGTCAGGAGGAGGCGTGTTAATTTGACTGCATTCAGCAAGAGTCCCCGCGGAGTAGGATCGATCTTCGTAGAACGGTAGTTTCATTGGGAGTGACCCCTGATTGACCGGCATATCGATCATACGCAACCGTGTTCATAAATCTTCTACATATACACCAGAAGGCTTTGATCAAATCTTATTATTCACTGAAAAAAACGTTTCTAAACCTTTCAAACCTTCCGATGCATATCGTTATGCTTTAAATCATCTCTTGAAAGAGTTTTAGTTATTGCCTTCCGATGGATTGTTAAGACACCCCCCGCGGCTTAGTTTGATATTTCAGTTGTGAACAATGTGAAAAGAACGATTCCTTTCAGTCATTTTAACAGTCTTTATCTTGGCAGCATAAAAAAATCACCACTTCCCAAAGAGTTCATTAGCGTGCTCCATTAGCATGAACTGAAGAATGATTTCTAGTATCTGTGAGCCGCAAGCCATAAACGTTTTATTTGTTATAGGTAATAAACCTTTCTATGGGGCACCTGTGCCTTTTAAAAAGAGTCTTTTGAATTTTTTTAGGTATCAATCGCATGGCCTATCTGTTCATTGTCTTATGTGTTCTTTCTTTGATCTTAAAGGCTTCAATAAGATCTTCAATAAAAAGATACTCACCGTAGAAGTGAATACCAGCATTTGCTAATTTAAACAAAAAAAATTAATGTAGTTTTGACTGTTTGCAGACAAATCTCTAAACAAGATATTAAAACTACAGTATAAAGTGTTGCATAAAGGGAACGTGGGTGATGCCAACTAAACCTAACGTAAAACATAAAAATTTATTTGAGATATTCTGTGACAAGTTTTTCAACATATTACAACACCTGCTGCTACTTATGGACTGCAACTAGAGATGTGCCATAAGATATGAACACATTGGCTCCAAACGTGCTCTTGCCTAAAGTTTTGGCATTTTAAATTGTTTGCTTACCAAATAAACCTCAAAATGTGTTTCGTGTCAAACGTGAACGACTTTCATTCTAGGTTTGTGAAAACAAATTATTGTTATTGGTCACCTTAATTACGAAAATGTTAAATAATATAACAAACATTTTTGAACGATATATGTAAATGTATGCTCATTTACATGCACGGGATCTGTACGTGTCACAAATTTTTCTAAACAATTACTATAGATGTACACATAAGAAAGAAGGCAGTAGGCTTTCAGCACGGGTTTCTTTCGCCTTGAGCTTTCTGAAACTTGTGGATAGCGTCCCAGCAAGAGATTTTTTCACATTTTAGCTAGCTACTGTTTTTCCAGCTTCTTAATCAACATGTCAATATCCTGTTTTTTAACCATTCCAACGGTCTCCGGTACACGCGAAACAACAAGATCAAAACGTTCGAGATAATTACATCCGCACAATACTGAGTCATGTATTGGATGCATTAACAACAGATATAATTAGGCCTTTATTAAACTTGCCACCTGCTTGATAAAACCCCTCGGATATGCATAATAAATATGTATTCTCAAGAGTCAGCGGTCTCTGACCTTCCTCTTTAGTGCATGTGTAACTCGCCCACAGATATTATTGAGTATTGTTAGGTCAAGGAACGCTTAATAGAAATTTATACAAAAGGGCGTTTAATTTTCAAACACTTACTTATTTTTATGCATATATGTGTCTGAGGCAATTTTGGGATACTTCAAGGGAAATGTTTTACCTGAGGAAAATGTATGCAAGGACTACATCTGAAATAATTTTTTGTAAATTCAAATAATCCAGATAATAATGTTGCTCTTTATTTGAACTAAACGTTTTTATTGATCAATAATTATCATGCAACATCCTTTGTTCCATCCACAGTGGTTACAGTTCTAATTGGAGATTACGGCAGCTTATAAATCATATAATTTTTTATTGGTCAAACGCATAAACCTATATATAGACTGTGGGTACTTAAACCGCAATTTCTGAAGAGCAATGCACTTAGTGTTCAGAACAATGGAAAATTCTCTTAAATCACCTAATTTAAATTGGATTAATAAGTTTTATTATTTAAAACATACTGTACAAATTACCAAAATTCAAATCTTTAAACAAGATGACATCCGTATGGCCACGAATAAATCACAAGTTGTACAGCAGTTAAGCATAAAGAAATCAGCTGATATAACCTTTCTAGCAAGAACACATCAGTGTCTGGATATAACCTACCTTCAAAATAGCCGTGCGTGTGGGTGAGATCGTGGACGTTCTGCGGAAGTACCACTCCAGCGAAGAGCACATCACTGACTGCTATGTTGCAAATGAAAGCATTTGTAGCATTGCGTAAGGACTTCTGCTTGCCGAACACAACCAGAACCAAAATGTTCATCACGACCGAAAGCACCATCAGCACACCCATAACTACAATGAAGAATATGATGGCCATTGAAAGTGTCATTGTAACGCAGCTTTCCCTTCAGCAGGATCTGAAACCGTGTCACAGCGAAAACTGTCATCGACGCCTTTTATAAAGCTAGCACCCCTGCCGTTGTCACTGACAGTTCTGAACGTTTGGTGTAGAAGTTGCCTGCCAAAACACGAGAACCGTCATCTGTGACCGCCGCAATTGGTTGGTTTCAATACTAGGTTGGAGTCAAAGCACGATGGAAACTGTCATCGGCGTCGCTGCATGACCAATAAAAAACGTAAATGGGCGTGCAGGGCGTTATCAAGGCCTTTAATTGGTTTGGTTGCCATACAGTCATGCCACGTACCTATTAACGTTAATCTTCATTCTAGTAAAGTGGAGGCGAGTCCAAATACAAGTTGTCGCGTTCTATAGAATGTATTGTGTGTAACTGTTCATGGTAATGCTGGTAATTGGGTTGTATTGTATAGTCCCCAAGGGTGATGGAATTGCTGCAGAGTTGAACAGTTCCATAAAAACCAGGGCATAACGTTGTAGATCCGGTTGATCTCGTTTATCCTACGTGGCTATAAATCCAGGCCTTTATATCTTACTTTGCATATGCACACTATATGTTCATTACTCAAAATGCAGTCGCCACATTCAGATTCATATGCAGGGTTCAAAAAAGTGCGCACACGCGCGTGGGGTTGGGGGGGGGAACAATTGGGTTACAAAATAAATTGTTGCTTATTGTTGCCAATACAGCCGCTCCACCAATACACAAACAGCCAGTGGATTAAAAGACCACATAATAGCAAGATTGTCTCACAGCTGACGTAAAGCACAGGGCAAGGTCACATTAGCAATTACTTTAAATTATCCTTTGTTTACCAATTCAAAGAATATTCTTGGAACCCGAGGGATCGAATTAATGGCGAGGTACTTCCGGATATTGGGCGACCTCTTATGGTGTAATTATACCGTAGCCATAAATATACATTGTCTTTTCAAATGGTCTTTTGTCTACGTTTTTTTTTTTTTTTTAATTTTATTTTCATCGTAACTTATGACAGTCATTAGTCTTTTTAAAATCGATGATAACAATTAAAAGTTTTAAAGAATGAAAGCCTGGGCTAAGTAAAGTTAGTCACATGTCAGAATTCGGAGATTTCGAGGCATGAATGACCGCGTCAGTTTCTGCTGTAAAGTGATGTTACATTATACTATAGTTTCCCACCTTTTGTGTTCCTGTGTGCCGCGTAAAACTAAAACACATTATCAACTGACATGGCATCCTATTTAATGGATGAAGCAAAGCCATCTTTTTACAATACATGATCCTCAACAAAAGTTGGTAGTTCCAAATAATTAATTGAAGACATACTACTCTATACATATAGAGATGCAGCCTAAATTGGGAAAAGCCAAAGTACAACCATTTGGTAAAAAAAAAAACTTTACAATCAATGACAAGTCTGTAAGTCATTGCAGACGTATATTACTCTATAAATGCAGAGATTACATGTATATGTGCGAGTATCTGTTTATGATGCTGTGTCAATCGAACAAACAGCCCTTTTTGCAAGGAAAAGGTCCGGTCTGGGTAAAATTTGATCAAGGTTCACAAATGTTTCATAGTAAAAGGTCCAACATTTTCAGGAAAAGAGCTCCCCCTTTTTGAATTGCTGGCTACGGACCTGACTTAATAAAGAAAAGACCTAGTTACTACAACCCAAACTTCGGCTACAGTCACTCTCGCCTGATGCCTGTACGTTATGAAATGGTCGATTGCCGCTTTTTATACAATTTACTGGTGCTGTTTGCCTCTGCCCGAGCGGTTGCAGAAAAGGGCTGGGGTTTGCTTAAACGCCTTATGTCGTCCGATCCGATTGTCATTTTTCTTGACAAGGGAAACCACTCTGCGCGTTTCCGATAATGGCGCATCGTTCGTTCACTTTTAAGCTTTCTTTTTCTTAAAATATTTTTCATTGCGTCACGCTTCTTTTCTACGGTACCCAACAATCAGTTAGTATTCTAGTTTTTGGTATGTCGGGCTGGCAAGTTATAAGACTTATTAACAGAGATGTATTTTTTATGAAGAATATTAAGATTCAGCTGGACAAACGAAGCTGTGCGGTCAAAGGCTCCTGGGCTTAATTAAAGCAATCAGGAAACAGTTGTTGCAGTTTCAAGGCAACTGCATTATGAAAATTCAATGCCACGTAGCAACTCAGAAGGATAAGGCAAAGGCGCAAACGCAGAACGTGTTTATTCGTGCATTAGCTGACTGGTAATTAAATGCACACAATAAATGTAACACTTTTATATGACAAAATAATACTTTTTCGGATATTTCACCACTTTTCCCTGAATGAAGAAGATAAACCATATGCAAATGTGTCCACAGAGTCGCAAGGGAGACAATGAGATTCGTGAATTCCCCTTGTGGCGGTAAAAATTAAGAATTTATATCACCTAAACGTTACCTTGCGGGTAAAGAGAAAATGACTGAAATTTTTAAGAAAACTGTCCTCTCTCTCTCTCCTTCGTTTGTATATATAACATTAGCATTGTGTGTGTCATTAAGGTCTCGAATAAATCGATACTTTGCAATAAAAATCCGTCTTCTTTAATTGTCTTCAATGCACTGGGCGGAAAAACGCGACGAACTTGTTATTGGACTAGTCATTAGCGACATCTATTTTCGGCTCGCTTATCATATCAGGAACTCGACTGGAAAACAAATGACTATTTTCCCTTTAAATAACACGCAACGCAGCATTTCTTGTTGACAATGATACATCAAAGCGGGATTCCTACTAACAATAAACTAAACAAGCGAGCTGACGTAACGAAATAAATGCGTTTCAAAGAGACTCCAAATCATTTTCGTTAAAATCGTGAATGACGTCACAGACGAAACCGTAATAGGAAGTTCAACTGTTCTCCATAGGCACATGACCTCGTTTCCTCCTTTACTTTCCAAGAAACGCGTCCGCAAACTGATTCAGTGAAACATTTCAAGCAGGGATGTCGACCCTGAGCGCGTGACATATGTAGATGAAGATACCTTAAAAATGATTTTAAAAACTTGGTAATGGGACCGGTGCACCTGCTTAAAAAGTACTACTCTTTGTGAGTTAAAGACGCAAGAGATGCACGCGACCGTTCAATCTGCTTTTGAATTAGCAAAAAGAAGATAGGCCTATGTGTTATATAGTGACAATAACGACGATGTGAAGCTTTCAGAAATTTATTCACCAACTCTCTCTTTCATACAAATTCACAAGCATTAATACTCTATTTCTCCGTACTGATCACGCACTGACTTGTTTTCATCCATGAGAATGAGAATTTTCCATTCTCATGTTGCATTCCTCCATTCAACATTTCTTTATTAGGCAATTTCTAAAGGATTTGTTTTCTATTTAAAATATTATTTGAATTAATCATGCTTGGACCATATTTATCCTTAGTTTGCATGTGTTTAACACGTGGCAGAAACTTACAAAATTTAATATATTGAGAAATTAACCAATCAAGTCAAATTATATGCGACTTTTACATATATTCCATCTGTTCCTACCTTGGTGACTCTTAAAGAAATTAAACTTACACTCAATAACTCCCTATCCTTTTACTTATTTGATTCCTCTTAAATAATTACCTTTAAAATTGTTTATTTGTTGGGAATTTCTGAGATTTTGAAATGTGACAGAGTTGATAAATCGTAGATCAATTCTTTTCAAGTCAAAACCCCTCAAATTAGGGTTCGCGTCATATACCTTACGACATCACAGAATGTATTAACAGCACAAAGGCTGGAACACATGTATCAGCGGGAAATACAAATAGAGAAAATTCCTTTTGTAAAAAGATGAGTTCTATGATCGGGGTCGCCTATAATTGTCTTTTCCTGATCTTTCTTTGAAATAAATTTCTTCCCCACTATTGATTCCATTACAAAAATTATGAAACATCTATTTCACACTATAATAATTTATTTCACAACAGGCCTCCCGGCTTGTAATACCGCCACAGATATGTGGGATAATCATCATAAGAACTATATTGTGGTATCTGGATATCTGGGAAAGATAACACAATTATCCTTACACAACCTTTTCTTCAACTCTTTACTGAAAGCGACCCATTCCAACCTGGGTGGCGTCCTGTTTTTCACTCATTATTAATTAGTCGGGGATTCCGAAGTTCACACTAATAATGGTGTTGATTTGTGTGATTGTCAACTGGGCCCTGCTTCTTGGAAAAACGACTTGACATTATAGGCGCTCGTCTTGCCTATGCAAGCAGTCAACTCCTTAAATAACAACATGAATTCTGTGACAATAAAACAAGATGAAATATATCTATTTTTTCGTTTTTATTTAAAGTAGCTCTGTTGTGCTCTTTATTTCTTTTAAATATAAATTTTTAGTCAATAACTGTATAAACTTCTTTTTTATAGAACAGAGAAGACTTCAGATTTGGAAAAAATTCCTAAAGTGTAATACTACTTACCGCCACATCCGCATTACAAATGTTTCTAATTGCTGAAAAAAATGACACTGTATCAAAATGTTTGTAGAAACTCTCTTTTACTATGAAATTGAGTAAATAAGATAACTTTATATGTAGTAATATAAACAAATTAACACCACTTTTTCAGGGGAATATTGAAACAAGGCAGCAAAGCTGTCAAATGTACAGATAAAAAACAGAAATAGGCTTCACTGTACTGTCAATTCTGATGCGATAATAAATTATGCTTAACAGCAATGTCAACACCAAACTTTAATTATGCACAACAGGTAAAACAGATGTAAGTAAAATGTGCAACTATCATAAGGCTTCAGGCCCATGAGAGTTCAAGTTCACACTTTGAAAATGCCAAAATAAGAAAAATGAATATTTCACAAAAAGTTGCATAAATTCAAGAAATGTTAACCCTGGTTTCCAATTTGAGCTGTATTTCAATTGTAAGAATCATTCTTGTAAGTTACAAAATAACACAATATGACATGGTTTTCATGTTATCTGTATGTGGATATGTTGAAAAAAGTGAAAAAAAGCATAACCTTGGAAAAACGGTCAGATCAAGCTGATTTTCGAACTCTACATGTATTTCAATAAGATTGATCACTCCTGACCACATCTGTGTCTGTACATAAAAAGGGTGGAAAATTAATGAAATGTTATACAGCCAGATGAGAAAGGCAAGCACAGCATAGGGAATTGTGTGAGGTGTGATAGGATAACAACTCTGATTGCGGTAAATGTTAATTGTGGTAGGTGTGAACAGATAAAAAAAAACTTGTGAAATTTGTGCTAAATGTATGTCATTGCACTAGATGAGATAAAAATAACTCAGAAGACTTCATTGTGTCAGGCAGAAATGTAAGTCCTTAATCTCAGTGCACAAAATAACATGATGGATGGGCGGATGGAAGCTGTCTTTTGGGTCTTCCAAAAGATGCTAGAAATTTTTCAAGTTTACATTGACTATTATCTTATTTTGTCTGTATGAAAATGGTCAAAAATGGAGGATGGATCAACAACAATAACTCAGAAGACTGTTAGAAAATATCTCTGGATCTGCCCCTGTGATGAAAGTTCTAATGTGTTTTGCTTGATGGGGAAACCTCGTATCTGTCAAATGTTGCACAAAATTTAGGAATTGAATTGCACAAACATCTAAGCTAGGACAATTTTTATTCGTTTTTTTTCCTTTTGCACTTGTATTTGCCTTAGATCTATCAATACTGTAGCATAGTGTGCCCTAGACTATCAGTATACTTAAAAAAACTATGCTGAGCAAATGGGCTTATGAACTGTTTTATAAATTGACACTGAGATTTCATCATCATCATCATCAGGCAGTCCTTCATGGGAAAATAATTTTTTAAAAAAAATTTTGAAAACAAAGTATTATTATCTTCTTACATTTGAATCTTTCCAGAAGAGCTTTGGCCTTTATATCCCCCAGGCCAGGAATGAGTTGTACTGTGTTCAAGACAGAGGTATCCAGGGGAGATGTCAGCGCCTTGGACAGGAACGGATTACTAGACTTCTTACCCTCTGCTACCACCTGGAAAATATAAAATGCAACTTTTAATGGCTTTGTGATTGGGTTTGTCGATGGATTAGGAAGTTACTTTGATATTTTAACCAGGAAATACACATTGATAATTCACTGAATTCTAATACTGTAATACGGTAATTACTTCATCTTTTCAATGGGGGAAATTTGTGAATTTTACAGATACTGTACTTTTTAGGTCATAATTTCTTTAAAAATTAGAACATTCCCATTGAGTGGTAGCAACAAAATTAAAAAGCAGGCTACTCTATAGTTCTATTCTATGTAGTGAAGGCACCACAAATGCTTTACAGAAATTAAATTTTTGTGATTATAAAATTATGTATTTGATAGTTCAATTATTTTTGTCCTTTGAAAAGATAAGAGTAATTATCATAACTTATTTCTTCCCTCTCACAAAACATTAAAATGAAACCATTTTATGAGAGAACAGTTCCATTAGCTCTGTATGTATCAATTTAAATTATTGTTTTTCTTTTTATCAAGAGCTTATAAAATATGTGGGTATTACCTCATTCATTTACAGTCATTTACTCCCTGTTGATGGTGACTGACAGTCACAGAAATATTGAAGGTAATACCCACATATTTTATAAGCTCTTGATAACAAGAAAAACAATAATTTAAATAGAAACCATCTTAGTCAAGGGTAAAAATAGAAAATCTGGTGTTTTGGATGCCTGTTTAAAGCTGTTTGAAGTACAAAGATCCACACAGTAGCAGCTGGTGACAGACAAGAATACTACTATGATAAGACCGAAATAACTTAATAATGTGACAAATTGTAACATTTTCATTTAATATTCATTTACCATCTGCCACAGTAGCTGTCCAGCAGCTCTCTGATTGGCTACAGGAAACAAGATGAGCCCAATTTCAAGCACGGCAAACTTTTGCAGAGCTGGGAAATACTGGGAACTTAGAGAAGTCTTCTCTGCTAACACTGTGCCACGTAGACCACTAGACTGAAATGAAATAAGACCATGCACCAATTCAAATCACTTGAGACCACGAAAAATGACTTAATGCTTACAAATTATATCTTATTATGTGAATTCAACACTGTAGATGTTAAAAATAAGGCACGTTAGCAATTATTTCATGTAAAAATGAAAACAAAATTGTAGTCACTGTGGTGAAAACTGCATTTGTATTCAAATAATGTATAACTCACAACAATGATTTCCTTTCTTTTTTAACACGAAAAATTTTGTTCAGTAAGTGTCACAAGTACATGTAGGTGTACCTTTCTTAGTTTGACTAGTTTCCTTCTATAAGTGGTACCGGTCACTAGTTCACTTTCTGACAGATAGATGGTGCCAACATCTGATGCAGGATGGAAATCCACTACACCAAGGTTTTCTTCATAGATAATACGGACTTTACCTGATGAATTGAAATCATAAATACATTGTTAATAGTTTCAACATTTAAAATGGTATGACTTAAAGATGACAAGTTATATGATTTCTTTTTTTTCAAATGTATTATGCAAAATTTGTTCATTAGTTGGAACATCCTTGTATTTCTGACTTATCACCCCAGGAAACAGGGATGAGGACAAAAAAAAAAAAGACTAAAAAATCACTAGCTTTCAGCAAGAGGGCTTAGCTACACAAGACATCTTACCACAGTGCTCTTTTTTTTTTTTTTTGCTTTAAATATTCATACAACTATAGTAAAAGAAATCTACATTAATACACAGCACAATACATATTAACCCATTGTAGCCCTCGTAATCAAAACAAACGGCAGCCATACTGGAGGGAGACCGGAATCGTCTGCTGCGCATGATCATGTCTACATGTACAATTTAGCATTTAATTTCTGTGTTTTCTTTGATATTAAACCGAGTAAAATGATGAATTACTGCAGGGTATATGATAGAGAGAAGATAAATAACTTAACAAGCGTTCACAGACTGCCTGCAGTGGTAACAATCCAAGGTGTAGGGACGAAAACCGTAAACGGAGGAGAGACTGAGGAGTGGCTTTGAATCAAGACTCATCGGACAAGTAAAGGATAAAACTAATTTATTTTACAGCAAAGAATGAAGACCCAGCTGTGCAGCCTTTACCATAAAAGAAAAAAAAGTAGAAAACCAATGACCGAGGTGTATAAGATATGAGCGCACGTACACTGCATATTAGTAGTGCCCAAAAAGTCTTGGTGGAGAGTGTGTTGTAAAAACGTGTGGAAATACCCAGGCAGGGTTTCGACTTTCATTATGAAGACTCACTTATTGCCTTGGGTGTAATTTGTTATCAGTTATGGTGCTCTTTGGATTTTATCTGCTGTCATCTACCTCTTTAATACCTGGTTAGCATTATTGTCAATTAGTGTCAAGGCTACAGTACAATGTACACAGCTCAGCTGGGCCAATTAAATCAATTACCTGTGTCATGTGTATTTGGAAGTTAGTGGCTTGATTTTAGATTTAGTGTAGTGTTAAGAGTAAATCTGTTTTGTAAGTATATATTCTAGCTCAGGTACCATTTAATTGAATGAACTTATGAAATGAATTTGAAAAATGTTGAATTCTGTGTTTTCCTACTGTATTATGATGCAAGTTACAATATGAATAAAAATAACTATTGTTACCTTTTTTTGTTAATTTACATTTAGGAAATTGATCTGAAATTTTCCCACCAAGCCACACTGAATGATTGGGTGCAAATAAATCTTGGTTATCAAAAAAAAAAAA